GTGACCAGCAGTGCTGCAGAATTTGAAGAGGCACGACTGGAGGGTGAAAAAGAGAAACGTGCCAGGAGGAAGGCACGTCAACCCAACCGAGACCTCCTTCCACCTGGAAACCAATGCCCTCACTGTGGGAGAAGATGCAGAGCAAGAATAGGGCTCCACAGCCACCTATGGATCCACAAGAATACTGATCATGGAAGACTATCCTACTCGTCCAATGAGGGATTGCCTAAGCACGTAAGTAAGTAAGTAAGTAAGTATATCCCTTTACCTGGGATCACCAAGGGAATCTATCACAGGCCCCTATCCTTAAACTATTTTCCCCTAGACTTAAGTTAAATCCCTTCTTGCCCCACGTAGGAGAGGAAACCTCCACTAACCTGGAGCAAATGTGTACTCCTACTTGATTTATATCCCAACTCAGTCCAAGGGCAGGATCTCTGAAATCTATTTGGCCTTGTTGACTTAAATATAGTAGGAGCCAAACTAAATTTCCTCTCTTATTTGTCTTTCTGCTTCGCATGCGTACCTTGCCAGCTGCTACTGACAATTTCTAGTGGAAGTAGCAAAGAAAAATTCAGGACTGTTTACTTTCTTTTCTTTTTTTGGTGTGCCATTCATTCTTTTTCGGTTGATTTATAACCCTAGTTGTTCTAAGAGTGCATCTACACTGTAGAGTTAACGCAGTTCGACACCACTTGGCTCAATGCTGTGAAATCCAGGGAGTTTGCTGAGGTGCTAGCTTTTTTTTGGCTTTTCAGAACAATGATCCCATACCATGATCCCATAATATTGAGTGTGGCAGTGTGAAAGATTGCCCATCAAGCATGGGCAAACTTTCTAATTTGGGGGCTTCATGGTGGGCCAGAGCGGGGTGCGTGGGGCGGAAGGGAGGGGGTTCACCCCAGGGAAGAAGGAAGGAAAGAGAGAAGGAAGGAGAAAATGGAAGGAAGGATGAAAGGGAAGGAGGGGGAGAGGGAGAAAGAGGGAGGCAAGGGGAGAAGGGAGGGAAGAAGAGAAGGAAGGAGAAAAGGAAAAGAAGGAAGGACGAAAGGGAAGGAAGGAGGGAGAGAAGGAGAAAGAGGGAGGCAAGGAAGGGAGGGAAGAAGGAAGGAAAGAAGGAAAGAGAAAAGGGAATAAAGGAAGGATGAAAGGGTGGAAGGGAAAAAAGGAGGGAGAGAGGGAAAAAGAGGGAGGGAAGAGAAGGAGGGAAGAAGGAAGGAAAGAAGGAAAGAGAAAAGGGAAGAGAAAAAGGAAGGAAGGATGAAAGGATGGAAGGGAAGGAAGGAGGGAGAGAGGGAGAAAGAGGGAGGCAAAGAAGAAAGGGAGGGAAGAAGGGAGGAAAGAGAAAAGGAAAGAGAAACGGGAAGGAAGGAAGGAGGGAGAGAGGGAGAAAGAGGGAGGCATGGAAGGGAGGCAGGCAGGAAGAAAGGCAAGGGAGAATGAAAGAGAAAAGGGAAGGAAGGACAAAAATGTGGAAGTGAAGGATGGAAGCAAGGAAGGGTGGAAGAGAATGGAGTGAGGGAGAGCAGAAGGAAGGAAGGAAAGACAAAAGGGAAGGAAAGAAGGGAGGAAGGAAAGAGAAAGGGAGAGAGGAAAGAGGGAAGGAAGAAAGGTTGGTAGGTAAGGAAGAATGAAGGAGAAAGAGGGAGGTAAGGAAGGGAGGGAGGAAAGGAGGAAGGATAGGATGATGATAGGAGGGCCTGAGAAAAGAACCCAAGGGGCCATATTCGACCCGCGGGCCAGAGTTTGCCCATACCTACTCTCAGGATGCACTCCTGAGAATGTTCTTGGCCCCACATTCGGTGATCCTTGACCACCCGCTTGAGTTAATGGAGGCTCCGAACTGTGCTTGGCTGTTTCTAGTTCATTACAGCTCACTTTTGTCTTGAGCAGATAACAACATGATAACGTCAAGTTCCTACAGTAAACATGGCCCGCTCTCTCTCCAGCTGCACACAGCGTGGTTTGGAAGATAAGCCTCCACGTTCTCCAGCCTCTTAACTCTTATCTGATCGGTTGACAGGAAGCGATAAGGACTTATCTATGGGGAGCAATGCCGTAATGTTTCCCCTACAATCTGAATGCTTGGTGGGGATCTTGTAAGCAAGGAAGGCTCCAGCAGAAAGAGCTGATGGAAGATATCATTTTTGGGAATGAGTCTGGACCTCTGCTGGGTTCTTATTGGAATAGTTTCTCTTCTCGGATGGATTCTTCTTATTCTTCTTCTTCCTAGCCAGTCTGGTGATCTGGAAAATAAAGTAATGAGAAAGTATTGGTTTCTAATCTATGCAATTTCTTTATGCTTGTGGGTAAACAGTATTTTTTGCTGTTTCTTTGTCAGTGTTGATGTCTGATTTGGAACAGGCAACATACAATTGTCCTTCTTTAGGGGTCCCTTTTAAATCTATGATACTATATCTCTCTCTGTGTGTGAATCATATCTTTCTATCTATATCTATGGATGGATGAATCTCTGTCAGGAGGGCTTTGATTAAGTTTTCTTGCCCTGATGGAGGGAGTTGGACTGGATGGCCTTCAGTATGGGTGTTCTGTGTGGAAAGTTTGCCCCAATTCTGTCGTTGGTGGGGTTCAGAATGATCTTTGATTCTAGTTGAATTATAAATCCCAGTAACTACAACTCCCAAATGTCATTGTCCCCCAAACTCCATCTGTGTCCATATTTGGGCTTATGGAACATTCATGGCGAGTTTGGTCCAGATCCATCATTGTTTGTGTCCACAGTGTTCTCTGGATGGAGGTGAACTACAACTCCCAAACTCAAGGTCAATGCCCTCTAAACCCTTCTAGTGTTTTCTGTTTGTCATGGGAATCCTGTGTGCCAAGATTGGTTCAATTCCATTGTTGGTGGAGTTCAGAATGCTCTTTGATTGTAGGCGAACTATAAATCCCAGCAACTACAACTCCCAAATGCCAAGAATTACAACTCCCAAATAACAAACTCAATTTTTTGAGTGATGGTCACTCTTTGGGTTAGTAGGGGCTGTGGCCAACCTTCCATCCCTCTTTCTCTCTCGCCTTCCTTCCTTCTCTCCCTCTTTCCTTCGTTCTGTCCTTTTTTCCTTTCCTTCTCTCTTTCCTTCCTCCCCCCTTTTCTTTTATTTTCCTTCTTTCTCTCCTTTCTTCCTTCTCTCCCTTTCCTTCCTTTGCACTTCTCTCTTTCCTGCTTTCTTTCCTTCCTTCTTTCTCTCTCTCCTTTCTTCTTTGCCGCTTCCCTTCCTTCCCTTCTTGACCTCTTGCCTGGGCGCTGGAAGGAAGGATCCTCGGAGGGAGGCGATTGGAGGCAGGCCTCGCTCACCCAGTGCGGTCCCTTTTCTCTTCTCGCCTTCTCGCCTGTTTGCCCGTCGGGCATGCCATTGGTGCCTCTCGCACTGACTGTGCTCGCGCGGCGGGAAGAGAATGGGTTTGAACGCATGCGCGATGTTCTCTTTTAAAATTTAAGGCCTTACTGTTTTTTGGGAGGAATTTTTTTGAGTGCAGGACATAGATTGCTCTGAATGCTGTGTTGTGTCCAAATTTGGTGCCAATTCCCCCAGTGGTTTTTGAGTTCTGTTAATATCACAAACGAACATTACATTTTTATTTGTATATTGTTATCATCGGAGGCAAAACCTTTATGGCTGATCTCATCCTCAGTTTTGTTGACATTCATAAAGTGGGTTGTTGTAGGTTTTCCCGGGCTATATGGCCATGTTCTGGAGGCAATTTTTCTCCTGACGTTTCGCCTGCATCTATGGAAAGCATCCTCAGAGGTATTGAGGTCTGTTGGAAGTAGGAAAAATGTGTTTATATATCTGTGGATTACTGCAGATGCAGACTATGGCCAGAGAAATCAGAAGACGCTTCCTTTTTGGGAGGAGAGCAATGTCCAGTCTCGATAAAATAGTAAAGAGCAGAGACATCAGACTGGCAACAAAGATCCCATAGTCAAAGCCATGGTATTCCCTGTAGTCACCTACGGATGTGAGAGCTGGACCTTAGGGAAGGCTGAGCGAAGGAAGATCGATGCTTTTGAGCTGTGGTGTTGGAGGAAAGCTGAGAGTGCCTTGGACTGCGAGAAGATCCAACCAGTCCATCCTCCAGGAAATAAAGCCCGACTGCTCATTGGAGGGAAAGATACTAGAGACAAAGTTGAAGTACTTTGGCCACATCATGAGGAGACAGGAAAGCCTAGAGAAGACAATTATGCTGGGGAAAGTGGAGGCAAAAGGAAGAGGGGCCGACCAAGGGCAAGATGGATGGATGGCATCCTTGAAGTGACTGGAATGACCTTGAAGGAGCTGGGGGTGGTGACGGCCGACAGGGAGCTCTGGCGTGGACTGGTCCATGAGGTCACGAAGAGTCGGAGACGACTGAACGAATGAACAACAACTCAAATATCTGTGGAATGACCAGGGTGGAACAAAGGACTTTTGTCTGGTAGACTTGTCCACAGCCACAACCTGAGAATTCAGCCATAGCAGAACACCTGATGAACCAACCTGGACACAGCATTTTATTTGAGAACACATAAATGCTGGACCACTCTCACAAATTACAACAGCAAAGCAACAGAGAGTAAACAATCAGGCACATCAATTCACTCTCAATAAAAGATTCCCCCAGGCACTTCCAAGCCATTAAATGCTAATCAAGGTGGTCAGTTGAAACATTCACACCTAGCTCCAACAGACAAGAGTCCTTTGTCCCACCCTGGTCATTCCACAGATATATAAACCCTTTTTCCTAGTTCCAACAGACCTCTCTACCTCTGAGGATGCTTGCCATAAATGCAGGCAAAACGTCAGGAGAAAATGCCTCTAGAATATGGCCATATAGCCTGAAAAAACCTACAACAACCCAGTGATTCCAGCCATGAAAGCCTTCGACAATACATTCTTAGAATTATAATTACAATACATTCATAAAGTGTTTCATATGATAGCCAGAGAAGTCTTTAACCCACTTTAAAACTTATTTTACTACATGTCTTTCCCTTCCAGGATTTCTCTATAATCCACCCTGAGATTCTAACACACTGGAAGGCATCAGTTTTCCTCTCCGTTGCTTTGCTTTGAGGGTCAAGAATGATGCTCCACCATTATAAAGGCTCTTTACGGTGAGTATTAATAATTTTTTCAACCAAATGTCTCCCATATATCTGTATCCAGGAATTGTATCACGCAATATAACGAAATCCTATGTGATGTGTGGGGCTCAGTTGTATGTTATGAGATTAGGGTACAGACAATTTGGAAGGGAGAGAAAAGATAGTCTTTCTGAAAGTATCTTGACATATGGACATATCAGAAGTTATGGATTTTCAACGTTACTGAGACCCAATCCATATAGGGCTTTATAGGCCGTAGCGTTTCTCAACTTGAGAGTTGGGACCCTTGGGGGGTCATGAGGGGTTTTAGAGGGGTAGCCAAAGACCATCAAAAACATACTATTTTCTGTTGGTCATGGGGGTTCTGTGTGCTAAGTTTGGCCCAATTCTATCCTTGCTGGGATTCAGAATGCTCCTTGATTGTAGGTGAACTACAAATCCCAGCAAATACAACTCTCAAACGTCAAGGTCTATTTCCACCCAAACTCCTCCAGTATTCACATTTAGGCATATTGAGTGTTCATGCCAAGCTTGGTCCAGATCCATTATTATTTGAGTCCACAGTGCTCTCTGGATGTAGGTGAACTACAACTCCCAAACTCAAGGTCAATGCCCACCAAACCCTTCCAGTATTTTCTATTGGTCATGGGAGTTTTTGTGCCAAGTTTGGTTTAATTCCATTGTTGGTGGAGTTCAGAATGCTCTTTGATTGTAGGCGAACTATAAATCCCAGCAACTACAACTCCCAAATGTCAAGGTCTATTTCCCCCCAACGCTTCCAGTATTCACATTTGGGCACCTTGAGTATTTGTGCCAAGCTTGGTCCAGATCTACCACGCTGAATCCCCTTCGGGGAGACAGATAAATAAATAAATAAATAAGTAAGTAAGTAAATAAGTAAATAAATAATAATAATAATAATAATAATAATAATAATAATAATATGAGTCCACAGTGCTCTCTGGATGTAGGTGTACTACAACTCCCAAACTCAAGATCAATGTCCAGCAAACCCTCTCAGTATTTTCTGTTGGTCATGGGAGTTCTATGTGTCCAGTTTGAGTCAGTTCCATCGTTGGTGGAGTTCAGAATGCTCTTTGATTGTAGGCAAACTATTAATCCCAGCAACCGCAACTCCCAAATGCCAAGGTCTATTTCCCCCCCAAACTCCTCCAGTATTCATATTTGGGCATATTGAATATTCATGCCAAGCTTGGTCCAGATCTATCATTGTTTGAGTTCACAGTGCTCTTTCGATGTAGGTGAACTACAACTCCCAAACTCAAGATCAATGCCCACCAAACCCTTCCAGTATTTTCTGTTGGTCATGGGAGTTCTATGCGCCAAGTTTGGTTCAATTCCATTGTTGGTGGAGTTCAGAATGCTCTTTGATTGTAGGCGAACTATAAATCCCAGCAACTACAACTCCCAAATGTCAAGGTCTATTTCCCCCCAAACTCCTCCAGTATTCACATTTGGGCATATTGAATATTCATGCCAAGCTTGGTCCAGATCTATCATTGTTTGAGTCCACAGTGTTCTCTCGATGAAGGTGAACTACAACTCCCAAACTCAAGGTCAATGCCCACCAAACCCTTCCAGTATTTTCTGTTGGTCATGGGAGTTGTGTGCCAAGTTTGGTTCAGTTCCATTGTTGGTGGAGGTCAGAATGCTATTTGATTGTAGGCGAACTATAAATCCCAGAAACTACAACTCCCAAATGTCAAGGTCTATTTTCTCTCAAACTCCTCCAGTATTCATATTTGGACATATTGAGTATTCGTGCCAAGCTTGGTCCAGATCATTGTTTGAGTCCATAGTGTTCTCTCGATGAAGGTGAACTACAACTCCCAAATGTCAAAGTCTATTTTCCCCTAAACATATCCAGTATTCACATTTAGGCATCTTGAGTATTTGTGCCAAGCTTGGTCCAGATCTACCACCCTCAGTCCCCCTTGGGGAGACAGAGTGGTATATAAATAAATAAATAAATAAGTTAATAAATAATAATAATAAAAAAACTCTAATAATAATAATAATAAATAATTATTAAATAATAATAATAATAATAATAATATATTATATATAATATAATTATTATAATTATTATAATTATATTATATACTAGCTGTACCCTGCCACGCGTTGCTGTGGCCCATTTCAGTCTTCCCTTTCTGCTTCCCTTCCTTCCTTTTTTGTTTCCTTCCTTCCTTTATGTCTTCTGTCTTTCCTTCTTTCCTTCCTTCCTTCTCCTCCTCCTTCTCCTTCCTTCCTTTCCTTCCCCCTTTGGCTCCTTCATTCCTTCTCTTTCCCTTCTTCTCTCATTTCTTCTGGACTGTCCCTTTCAACGGTAATGCCGCGGGGGAGGGGGGGTGAGGGGCGGCAAGTGCGCGCGTGGCGGGGAGTTTGCGCCGCGCGCGCGTGTGTGCCGCGGGGGGGGCAGGGGCGGCGGGTGCGCGCGTGGCGGGGAGTTTCCGACGCGCGCGCGTGTGCCGCGGGGGGGGGTGAGGGGCGGCGGGTGTGCGCGTGGCGGGGAGTTTCCGCCGCGCGCGCGTGTGTGCCGCCGGGGGGGGGGCGAGGGGCGGCGGGTGCGCGCYTGCCGGGGAGTTTGCGCCAGTGRGCATGMMCAGMTGTTTTGTGGWGTTTMCGTCGTTGCAGMTGTGTMTMCTTTACTTTGGKGTAGATTAGTMTGTAGCGAGTGGGTTGMCCTAGGGGCATGGGAATTTTGGTTCAGTTCCGTTGGGGGGTTGTGGAGTTATGCGACGCCGTACGACGCCCCCTACAGATTTATATATATAGATAATAATAATAAAATTATAATAATAATAAAAAATAATTATTAAATAATAAAATAATAATAATAATAATAATAATAATAATAATAATAATAATAATTTGAATCCACAGTGCTCTCTGGATGTAGGTGTACTACAACTCCCAAACTCAAGGTCAATGTTTGCGTTTGAAGATGGCCAGTCTGGAGCAATCCCTGCAGAAGAGGAAGAGCCTATTTTTGTAAATTTGGGAAGAAAAGCCCACTTTTTTTATTAAAAAGGGAAAGAAAACCCAGGCATGGCGAAGCATGCAACGGTACGGTCCGATCTGCCAAAGCAAACTATCAATTGACATAACATAAAATAACACGCAGGCCTTTTCAAAAAGTGATTTTTCTGTTATGTCAATTGATAGTTTGCTTTGGCCGGTGTTCCTCTCCCTCGCATGCTTCGCGATGTTAAATCTCCCCATTTTAACGCGATGTGTTTGGTACAAGCACATGCACACGGACGGATCAAAAAAATACATCACGGTTTGGATCAGGAAAAGAGTGAAGATTCCCAACTCTGGGCTTGAAAGAGAAAGCTGATACTGGCCTTGCAGTTTCAGGTAGGCGTTCATATGGGACAATCATAGAATCCGAGAGTTGGAAGAGACCTACCTGGTAGGTCATCCAGTCCAACCCCGTTCTGTCAAGAAGCAGGGAAATCACATTCAAAGCACCCCTGACAGAAGGCCATCCAGCCTCTGCTCTTATTATTTATTTATTTACTAGCTGTACCCACCACGCGTTGCTGTGGCCAACCTTCCCTCCCTTTTTCTCTCTTTTCTTTCCCTCCTCCTTCCTCCTCTTTTCTTCCTTTCCTTCCTTCCTTCCTTCCTTCCTTTCCTTTTCCTTCTTCTTCCTTTCTTCTCTCCTTCCTTCCTTCCTCCTTCTTCCTTCCTTCCTTCCTTCCTTTCCTTCTTTCTTCTTTCCTCCTTCTCTCTTTCCTCCTCCTTTTCTCTCTTCTTCCTCCTTCCTTCTCTCCCTCCTCCTTCTTCCCCCTTTTCTCTTTCCTTCTCTTCCTTCCTTTGCTTTTTTTCCTTCCTTTCTCTTTCCTTCTTTCCTTTCCTCCCTTTTTCTCTCCTTCTTCCCTTTCCTTCCTCTCTTTCCCTTCCTTCCTTTTTCCTTCTCTCCTTCCTTCCTTCCGCTTTTTCCTCTATCCTTCTTCTTCTCTTTCTTCTTTCCTTCCCCTTTTCTCTCCTTCTTTCTCCTTCCTTCTCCTCTTTCCTTCCTTCCCTTTTTCCCTTCTCTTCTCCCTCCCTCCCTCCCTCCCTCCCTCCTTCCTTTTTTTTCCTCCTCTTTCTCTCTCTCCTTCTTTTCCTTCCCTCTCTTTTTCTCTCCTTTCCCTCCTTACTCCCTCTTTCCTTCCTCCTTTTTTTCCTCCTTCCTTCCCTCTTTCCTCCCTCCCTTTTTCTCTCCTTCCTCCTTTCTTTTTTCCTTCTTCCTTCCTTCCTTCCTTCCTTCCTTCCTTCCTTTCCTCCCTTCCTTCCCTTTCCCTTCCTTTCCCTTCCTTCCTCCTTCCTTTCCCTTCCTCCCTTCCCTTCCCTTCCCTTCCTTCCCTTCCCTTCCCTTCCCTTCCCTTCCCTTCCCTTCCCTTCCCTTCCCTTTTTGTTTCCATCCTTCTTTCTCTCTTTCCTTCCCTCCCCTTTTCTCTCCTTCTTTCCCTCCTTCCTTCACTCCCTCTTTCCTTCCTTCCTTTTCCCCTTCCTTCCCCTTCCTTCCTTTCTTCTCCCTCCCTCTTCCTTCTCCTTTTTCTGTATTGTCATTTATCTTTTCATTCAGTTTTTTTATGGTTTTAAATTCTTCCCACTGTTTTTTTTTCTGGGGGTGGGGGTGGTTTATGAGTGATGGTCACTTGTTGGTCTGTTAGGGGTACAGTGTCCAAATTTCATGTCAATTTGTCCAGTGGTTTTTGAGTCATGTTAATCCCACAAACGGACATTACATTTTTATTTATATAGATTTATTTATTTATTTACAGTATTTATATTCCGCTCTTCTCACCCCGCAGAGACTCAGGGCAGATCACAATGTACATATATATGGCAAACATTCAATGCCATAGACACACAACATATATAGACAGACACAGAGGCTATTTAACTTTCCAGCTTTTTTTTGATAAGGACATTCTGGCCACCAGGGGAGCTGTCACTTCACCATCCATTTGTGACACTGATGAAGTACTTCC